GAATAATTTGGTGCAATACAGACAAAATATCTGATAGAAATAATACAAAGAGTGAATGAGATAGCTTTAAATGAAATGTTTAAATTACATCCCAATGTGCGGCATCTATCTACCTAATGAACGGAGAAATGGATGAAGTTATTGAGTACCTCAATTTTGAAAATATTATGAATAACCTCAACCAATACTACACTAATCTCACTATAGTAACCATTTAATTGTTTATTTATTAAGATTATTCATGCAATAGATATTTCAACTGGATAATCACTAAGACCCTACCTTGCGATTATTCTCATTCAAATGAAATTAAGTTTCATAATAATAGAAAAAGTGTATTCACTTTAAAATCGCAGAAAAAAAAACAGTGTCAAAATAATGTGAGTTGCTCATCATTGTTGTACAACACAAATTTCAATAGTTTGTTTCTACTTGTATGCTTATTTGATTTTTGAGTTCCTCCTCCTCCTCCTACCCTCTCTCCCTCTCTCTCTTCGATTACTTGTTAAGTTGAAATTTTTATCAAAATAGTTAATGCATAAAATTGTTTTTTGTTTTGATTAGTTCCCTAAACAGTGATAGTGAGAAATAGTTTCATTTATTATTATTATTATTATTATTATTATTAGTAGTAGTAGTAGTAGTAGTAGTAGTAGTAGGAGGAGGAGGAGGAGGAGGAGGAGGAGGATGAGTACTATGATAACATTAACTGAAAAGTGTGATAATAAAATATTTAATCAAGCTGAAATGAGAAGAGAAACGAAAAGAAATTTTAATTACATAAAAAAAGTATCAGGTCAAATTTCATAGTTTACATCATCTTCGTTAGGCAAACATTAAAACTTGCGAAGCACTACACAGTTGTTACATGATGTACACTATGAAATAACAATCATGTCAAGCGTATCTATAGGAATAATAACTATGCGCTTATTAGTAACGATATTGTCTGATGTTATACTAAGAATCTATGACCAATAAAGTTTGTCGATGTTGTGAGTGTAGCAGTCATCAACTAATGATATCAGAAGATAGTTACACAATATCATAAATTGGGCGAGACTCTAATTTATGAACGAGCCAATCAGAAGCGTTTTAGGAATTTCAAGGTTACGGCGCCAACTTCAGTGCTTAACGCTAACGTACGATCGGTTCACAGGGGATTTTGTACAAAACGTGATAATTGAGCTGCTATCACAAATAAAACGACGGGACTATATTTTGTGGACGAATCAATCAGGTATAAGATAATAGATCTCGGATTTTAACGCGAAAGTTTTTCATGCATTTGGCTAAATAAATTTCTGGCATTATAGCCGATGTAAGTTTGTGATGAAAACCCCGTATATAATTTCTAAGGTAAATTACGAAAATTATCGCGAACTGGATAATAAAAGCACATAGGCTTGGTAATGTGCAACGTGTCGTTGGCCAAAAGTAGCATTTTGTGCACTCAACAATCGGAGTGCACATAATTAATATTGAAGCTATTTGGTCGAGGCTGAAAGAGTTTTTGAGACTTTATCATGACTATTCTGTAGCCATATGAATGATTTCCTCTACTGCATCCATTAGGATTTTAGAACCGCTGAACCTCTTTCTAACCTTGACAAGTTTTTGAACCACGTATAAGAAGTGTATCCACCTTATTTCTTTGGTTTTATATAATATATTTTTACTCTATGCTGACTGTGTGCTGATTGTCTAATATTTCTCAAGGTTACTTAAGATTCGTTCAAAAGCCGTCCATAAATTAGAGTCTTGCTCATAAATTGATTAAAGTTCGAAGTGTAAACCGTCAGGGAGCACCAGTTCCCTCAAGATTACAGGTAAACCTTGCTGACAAGTGCTAAATAGCACGAGACCCGGTTACAGGGTTTCCTGTTGACTACTTTCAACCACCATTCTATCCCAACATAGTGCACGCATTGTGAGTCATCTAAACTAGTGTCAAAATCGCAACTTGGTCGATAGCGTTCAATCTGCACTAAGAAGCACTTGATGCACATGACATTAATCATCAATCAGTGATCAATCAATTGTGATTAAAAGTGTAAAACTATTTGATGGTGAATCAATGTTCTAAAGATTAAGTTCTTATCACTAGGTCTGAAAACCTCAAGCTGGAGTTTTGATAAAGTTGTGAATGCGTACTAGTGGACGTTTCATTCCTAAGATGAAATATTTATCTAATACTAGCAGTTTTTCGACGGTTGTTTAACTAAGATTAATTTGTAGTGTAAACTATAGAATTCAACAATTTCCATGAACACCATATTCATAATATGGTGAAAGTATAAAAATACATTTTGAAAAATTGTTTTTACATTTTTCGTACTTTTCCAGTAGAAATCTGATGCTTCATTTAAGATAAGAAGATAAAGTATAAATGCTCGTAACAAAACATTTAGTTATATTTAAAGTTATAATTTTAAGGAATCCTGGAAATTGTTATCGAAGTATACCAACCTAATAAGCTCATTATTAGATGAATTAATTCCAAAATATACACTAAACTCAGTGGTTTAAAGCCACGTGATAATCCGTTTCAAATGAACAAGAGCACTTGGGTCGTAGATTTGTTGATCAAATCATGATTTATTGACAAGTTTTATGATCTAGGTAAACATAAAATGTTTGCCATTCGTCATTTCTTTTTATACGAGGCGGGCATTTGTTAGACAAATCCATTTTAGGCATTCTTTTATAATCTTGTCATAAATGTGTTATTAAAAATAACATTTTTGGAGATGATCTAATACAAAGATTAAACAGTTTTATTTCATGAAGCCATTTATTAAATTCGTTTTGGATTTCTTGAAAAATAGAACAAGAACGTTTGGAATGTGTTTATCTAGATAAAATTAGCTGCAGCAACATTATATATCAATACCTAAGATGACCATAGCTATTGAGGCATTTGATCTCGTCGACAATATTATTTCACAGTTATGTAATATACCCTTGTGGGCCAGGGTAATGTTACATTGGTTTTCAGGAGAACCAGACACCATCCCGACTTTCACGTGACAACCCAAACAGTACAACTCAACCCCTCTTAACAGGAGAGCCAGGCACCACCCAGGCTTGAATTTTATGAACCGAGCAGTACAGCTCAATCCCGCTTCACGGGAGAACCAGACACAATAACGCTGCAATCTGAATAGTACAGCTCAATCCTGTGGCGCAACCACACAGGTACCAAGCACCGTTGGATGTCGACTCAGTGGCCTAGTTGGTTAAGCGCTCGGCACGAGACTGGCAAGCCCCGGGGTTCGAATCCCGCCAGGCGGGATCGTGGATGTGCACTACTGAGGAGTCCTACAATAGGACGAAACGGCCGTCCAGTGCTTCCAGGTTTTCCATGGTGGTCTAGCTTCAATTGACTCATGATCTCAACTGTTGAAATTACTACAATCTCCACTAGGTCTAGTGGTTTGATTATTGAAATCTTTGTATGGATTCTAAAATTGTGCTCATTTATTGGGATTTTTAAAAATCTGAATCAGTTACAAAAATGTTAATCTTACTACAATTATCTAACTCATACATTTCGCAACTCTGATTTATTTTCGTTTCGTTTTTAACGTAAATAGACGACTGGTTATTGTTTTATTTTTAATTGACTTTTGAATGGAATTGAAATTAACTGTGTTTAACACAATCAAGGTAGATTGTTTTATGTTATTCTCTTGTCAATAAATGATTTCCATTTGAAACTATAGGATAATAAAAACATCTAGGAAATAACAATATGCAAAATCATAATCAATTTGACAAGTGTATAATTTAACAGACTAGGTTTTTATATATTAATCCAATATATATAACCTATCAACAAATGCATAAACATTTATTTATGGCGCCATTCGAAACTGTTAGCAGAAAATTTAAAACATCAATACTTTCTCATTGAAATTGATAATAGATATTAAAAAAGTAATAAAAAATCGGAAATAATTTGTGTATTATCACTCATTCTTCCTAAATGCACTACATCTGTACTTTGTATGTATGTATATGTGTGTATACACAAACTCTGTGTTCAATATTCCACATGAATTTATAAGATTATTATTACTTATTTACTATTACCCCTCATGGAGTAGCAAAGGCCTCTTACAAGCATTCCCCATCCAACCCTGTCCTAGGCAATCCGTTCCAGTTCTTCACCGTTGCTGTCCATTCTTTCATGTCTACTTCCAATGCCCGACATAATGTATTTTTCGACCTTCCACTTTTTTGTTTCCCTTCATGATTCCAAGCTAACGCATGCCTCGTGATGCAGTTTGATGATTTCCTCAATATGTGTCCTATCCGCCAACTTCAGTATTTATTCCTAATTTCCTCTTCAGTTGGGATCTGATTTGTCCTTTCCCACAGAAGGTTGTTACTGTTCGTATCCGACCAACGGATATTAAGTATCTTATGTAGACAATTGTTTATAAATACTTGTACGTTTTTGTTGATGGTTGTAGTAGCTCTCCAAGTTTCAGCTCCATACAATGGAACTATTTTGACATTCATATTGAAGATCCTAACTTTATTAATTATTTTGAGTTCCATATATTCTTCAACCGTAGATTTATTATCCTTACTTTACTAGTCCTTACCTTTATTTGAATTTTGATTGGTTGAAATAAAAGATGATGATCTGCAATATGATTGGTCAATTTTATTAGAAAAAAATTCATTCATTGATTGGTTAATAAAACGAACAACACAATGAGACTGTATGTTTGTATTTATATGATGATAATCATCAGCTGATTGATTATTAATACATTTTATTATTCATACTACTATTCATATAAATATAACCAATAAAATATCGTTTTCTTACAATAAACGAATAAACAAACAAACAAATAAAAAAGAAACTGCAATTTTCATTTCTACAAAATGAGTAGTATATTACTACCTAAATCTACTATTATTATTATTCATTTCATCTATTCATTATATCATAAATAGATAGTTTCTTTTCTTCAGAATTAATCATGAATCTTATTACATTTACATATAAACAAATAATTTTCTATCTAATCTATTTATTCTATTGGATTATTCATCTTTTTACATTTTATCATTGTTTTCAATATTTCAATGATTTACCAGAAATTAAAATTTATGAAAATTTAACCATTGGTCAAGTCATTATAAAAGATATACGTTCATTACTTGGTATACCTAAGTCAAATTATATTCAATTAAGTCCAAGTTCATTAACACAATTTTTTCGTTTAGATAATATCACTGGTAATATATATAGTATATCATCCATTGATTTAGAAACAAGTAATTTATGTAACATAGAAAAATCATGTTGTCATAATTATCAATATGAACAATTATCTAATGAATTAATTAATAATCAATATTCTATCAATCAACTAGATGATGATAATGATGATGATGATACAGAAGAGTTATCTAATGATTTGAATCATATGATTGATAATCATGTATTAAAACAAAAATATCAATGTAAATTAACAACATTTATATTAGCTTCAACAGATCATGATATGCAAATTTCACCAATTAGTAAATTACATATTAATATTATTGATTTAAATGATAATCCACCACAATTTAATATCGTTTCAGATGATTCAATGAATTCACAATCAAATTTAATATATTTATCATTTTTAGAAGGTTCATTAGGTGTTCATACAAAACATGATTTACCAAGAGCATTTGATTCAGATGTTTCACCAATAAATCGTGTCAAAAATTATTGGATTGAATGGGATGAAATAATTCATAATTCACATCAATCTTCATCTTTATCTACAATGACATATACAAATGACCAGATATGGTCGAAACTTGGACCATTTCGACTAATCTATACAAAGTCGATAGAAAATTTAGTCATTCAACTTGATGAAGAATTAGATCATGAAAAACAATCCATTTATAAATTACGTTTAATTGCTCAAGATGTTGGAGATTTACGTGGATCCATACAATTAATTATTGAAGTAGATGATGTCAATGAATTTCCACCAATTTTTGTCGATTCAAATGATGTTAATAAATTGAAAGATCCACATCTATATTCATTATATACTAATCAAGAAATTTATAAAAAACAATATAGAATAAAAGAATCATTAGATATAGGTAGTCGTATTGGACAATTAAAAGCGATTGATTATGATTTATTCATGTCTAATGAAACCATTAATCAAATTACATATCATTTTAGTTCAAATCAATTGAATTGGGATGTAACACATATGTTTCATTTAGATTCACAATCTGGTATTTTAACTTTAAAACAATCATTAGATTATGAAAAGGTTAAAAATTATCGTTTAACTATCATAGCAAAAGATGGTCCAATAAAAGAGAAAGAAATAGATACTTCGAAATCATTAGACCGTCCAATAACATCAACAATGAAGAAATCATCACAAATCATTTATTCTTCTACAGCTTTAATTGATATTATTGTTCTTGATGTCAATGATAATTCACCAATTATCTTATTTGAAAATGATCATATACTAGAGAATAAATATAAGAATATAACCAATTTTAATCATGCCTTAATTACAATGAATAAACCATATGAAATATGGATTAAAGAAAATATACCTAAATATACACCAATTGTATTTTTTAATGTCATTGATTATGATACCGGACAAAATAGTCGTATATCATGTCAATTATTAAATTTCACAGAAATATTTCATATACATCAATTAGCTGATTTATATAGAATTGAAACTAAATCATTATTAGATCGTGAATCTATGGATCAATATACTATTATCATCAAATGTAATGATATGGGTGAACCAATGTTATATAATATAAAAACTTTAATTATTCATTTAATTGATGTAAATGATACACCACCTAGTTTTCCATTAAATATTTATCATTATCATGTATTAGAAAATAGTTATCCTGGTACACCAGTTCAACCAATTCATAATCGATATCCAATCATGAATTTAGCTATAGATCCTGATTTGAATAGTACATTGATTTATCATTTAGAATCAATCGATATATTAAATAATCAATCAAATCATCATCATAATAATAAAGATAATGATTTCATTCAATCATCATCATCATCATCATCATTATTAGATTATCAATTATTTTCAATTAATCCAATCAATGGTCAAATATTTACAAAAGGTGAATTAGATCGTGAAAAAAAATCCTCTTTAGAATTATCTCTATGTGTTCATGATCAATTACATTTAACTTGTACAAAAATTTTAATTGATTTAGATGATATCAATGATAATCCACCACAATTTGAGCATAATCATTATATTATACATTTAGATGAAAATAAATTATATACTAAACCAATTATTATATTTATTGTATCTGATTTAGATTCAAATAATAAAGATTTTAAATTTAATATACTATTTGATTCATTAAATAGACCGCCACAAATCATTTCGAAAAAACAACAAAATAATAATTCATTAAAACAATCAAATGATATTGAACATTTAAATGTTTCACAATTTGATCAATCAATAAATGATCATAAAAATTTAATTCAAAAATATTTTCTATTAAAAGAGAATGAATTATATTTACAAAATGTATTAGATAGAGAAGAATGTGCAAATTATCATTTTTATATACAAGTACAAGATATACATTATGAATTATATAATAGTAATAATAATCATACACAATATAGTTTAATAAGTCAAACAGAAATCTTTATACATATTAATGATATCAATGATAATAAACCAATATTTCTATTTCCTAATATAACAACAATAGCTGGTAATCGATTAATTGTATCATGTCATGAAATGATTGGTAATTCAATTGGTCATATTAAAGGTTATGATCCAGATTTAGGTATCAATGGTACAATTCTATATAATTTAATGATAACAACTACTCATATAAAACAATCATTATTTTATTTAGATAATAATTCTGGTGAATTATTTGTTAATACTAATCAATTAATTGATTATTGTGGTAAAATTATTACATTATTAATAATTATTGATGATCAAGGTCCAAAAATCAATAAACATTCAACAATTGAACGTTTATTGATTCAATTAGATGATATACCAATCAAAATGAAATCATCAATAGAATATAATCAACAATTTAAACAAAAATGGGGAATAAATTCTAATGGTATAACAAATTTAAATGTATTAACTAATACTCATAATAATATGAATAGTACATTTACAATTAAAACTATGCTTAGTATTACACTTGGAAGTTCAACTATCTTTTTAATTGGATTATTAATGACATCAATTATATTAATGATTTATAATAAATCAAAACATAGAAAAACTTTTTTTACATTAAAAAAACTACATTTCAAAGATAATACTATTTATAGTCAACATAGTAACAATGGTAGTAATAATAATAATAATACAACAAATGAAGATTTAATCTGTATTGATTGTAAACAGGGGGGATTAAGTAAAATGTTATTCCCTACTACTACTAATAATAATAATGATAATAAGGATAATCAACATTCAAATGAATATATCACAGAAACAACTGAAAATTATCCAACTTGTATGTTGAAACCGAAATTGATCAGTGAAGGTGAATTTTCTACTGCTGTTGCTGCTGATGATAATGATAATGTTCACCAACATTATCATCATCATCATGGTCATACTGAACAAGGTATGTATTCGAGCTTACAATATATTGTCTAAATAATTTAGATTTGTAAAATGAATTTATCTATGAATAGTGAGAAAGTTTTTCAGATTATAGATACAGTTTACCATTCATTACATTATTGATGTTGTTTACATCAAGGCTACAATTAAGTAGCTTACAATTTAAACATCCTAAATGTTATCGATTTAGTTGATAAATTCAGACAATCAACTCAGGATCCATATATACCAAAATTAACTGATCAGTTTCAATTGTTATCATTAAAAATGGAAAGATTTAAATCCTTCCAAATGGATTATGTTAGTATTAATTTCAACTAATCAAACTTAATAATTTATGTGTATTTCAAGAATTAAATCAAAGAAATACAACATGAATTCATTGAATGTTGAAAATACACTCATTTAAAATTTGTTTAAATTTGTGAAAGAAACCATTTGTATGGAGTATTATATATATATATTGAGGTTAGATGGTGGTTGGAGGTAGTCGACAAGAATCCCTGGATCTAGGTTTCGTGCTACTTGGCACTCGACAGCAAGGTGTACCTATGGTCTTGAGGGAACTGATGCTCCCTGGCGGATTCGATCCCGTGTCACTCAGCTTCACAGTCAGAGACGTTACCACTGAGTTATCCGAGCCGCGGCCAACCTCCTGTAGGACTGAGATGTAATCACAATTGACTGATCACTACCCAATGATCAATCAATTGTGATGTATATATATATATATATATATATAATCTAGAACAAAATATATAAAGCGAATAGTTTTGTTTTCCATTAAATCCTCATTAGGCTGTACTATAATATAGAGTAATATTCATATGTATATACGAAATTATTAAACCAGTCAATCTATTCCACTGTTATCACTGAATCATAAACTGCCTTGATGAGTTTAATAATTTCGTATATGCATATAAATATTACTGTATATTAGAGTAAAACCCGTTGTTGTTGTTGTTGTTGATGATGATGATGATGATGATGATGATGATGATGATGGCTGATAGGTCTCTGGTTTGAATCCCACGAGGCGGTGTCGTGGATGCGTACTGCTGAGGGGTCCTACAACAAGACGAAACGGTCATCCAGTGCTTCCAGGTTTTCCATGGTGGTTTAATTTCAACTGACTTACGAGATCAACCATTAAAATTACTATAATATCCCAAAACCCCTTCTGGTATTAATTAATTTCAGCCAACGTTTTTTATTAAATGGAATAACTTGATGGTACTCTATGGTATAGACTTGCATAGACTTTAATTGCTTCAACAAAAATTCCCCTGCCATTATTTACAATTCAGTAGTTCAGCTATTTCATTAAGATCAGTGTTGATTTCTTATAAGATCAATAAATCAATAGTTGTACTTTGTTCCCCTAGAGTTTTGTCAAATAATTTCAAATTAAAGAAGAATGAGTTTTGTAATGAGAAATAGTGTGACATATCTCATATCATCATATTGAATCAGCTATCAACATGTTTTACAGTTTACATGACAGACTGATCTTAGTTAGATTATCAATGATACTAGGAAACACTATGAAGCTGCCTAATCTTAGTATGATACCTTCAGGCAGTACGCAACCCGCCTAGAGTTACCAGTGAGAACCCTTGTCCAGCGGAGTTTTACCAAGTCAGGTTCATATAGATATCTGTATATTTCATATAAGGTATTGGCGTTTGTTAGACAATAACTGAAAGCTGAAGACAGTTGAACATATATTTCCACCCTATACGAGACTCCCCAACAGTGTGTGTTAACGACCACACAAGCGGTTGCGCCCAGGATGTTCAATTTTCTCAGATAGCGTTTAAGATTCAAACCGCTTAGTTGGAATCCAATAGTTTACATGTCTGATTTTAAGCAGTTCACGATATTGGAAAGTTATACCTACCTTAAATCTAACATGGTAAAACTCCGCTGGCCAACGGTTCTCACTCAAAACTCCAGGATTTATCTTCTGAAGTTAGTCACTAGTAATTACATGATTACCATTAATGTAGGAGATGGGATGGTGGTTGTTTGCTATAATCATAATATCTGCTTATATATATATATATAAGAGACGGGATTAAACCTCATTAGAAAAAATGTAATAGTAGACGATAAACCACACTGAATGCTTTAATTACATCTACTATATAACTGTATCTACCAGATGCGTTAAAAGTCATTCACAATAATACAAAATGTAAAATTAATAATAGCTCTGAGTTGAATTTCAATTTAGACGTTTATTGAAAGAACATCTTGATGTGTATTATCCAGTTCTGTCTAAAATTGAATGTTTATCAATGTAATACAATAATTTAACCCTTCATTTTGGTCATATAGAAATATGTCTATTTAAATTAGATCAATTTATGCAACATGTGGTCTTTTAACTGAAATATTCAATAAAGCTTAACTATAAAGATGAGCCAATGTTGAACGCTCATATCGTTTCCAGGTCATGGGATATTTATATAAACATCATGCCGTTCACGAATAGTAAAATAGATGATCACAATGAGTAATTATTGCTTATTGATGATATCATGAATAATTTAACCCAGAAAAGCATCTTAACCTATTTTATTGACCAAAGTACAATTAGATACTTAGGCCTAAGGTTAAGTTTTAAGTATTAGCTTGTACAGTTAAGGATTTATGACTACAGTTTAGAGTAGGGTTTAGAATTCGTATTGCTTACTTACTTACACCTGTTACCAAACATTGAGGAGCATAGGCCACCCATTAATATTCTCAATCCAACTCTGTCCTGAGCAATCCTTCCCACTTGTTTCCAATTGCTATTTATCCTTTTCATGTCTGCTTTCAATTCTTGACGCAATGTATACTTTGACCTTCCTACATTTAACGGTTAATCTATATATACTTTAAATCTTAATTCCCACAATAAATCAAAGACTCTACATCCTAATCCTAACTTTGAATACCAGCTCACCGAAGACAATGTTGTACGGTGGCGCAACTTTATGGACTGGTTGAAGTTAGACATTAACACTGTTGGATGCCGAACGGCTCAGTGGTCTAGTTGGTTAAGCGCCTAGCACGAGACTGATAGGTCCTGGGTTCGAATCTGGTGGGTTGCGGGATCGTGTATGTGCACTGCTGAAGAGTCCCATACTGGGACGAAACGGCCGTCCAGTGCTTCCAGGTTCTCCATGGTGGTCTAGCTTCAACTGACTCATGATTTAAAACCTCTCTGAAAATATTTTAATATTAAGCTTTACACTTAATTTTAAACTTAATTTCTAATCTGAAACCATAATATTAAATCATATTATTAATTACTCATTAATAATTAGTGCATTCTGATTGGTTGAATAGGTTAAGTGTATCAAGGTTATTTAATGAATTATTTAAGCTCACTACGCTTATATGATTTTGAGATGGTGAAGAAGATCTGTAGCTTAGATGAATGATTTTAGTGAAGTTTTGTTCTCTGAGCTGGATGGTTTAGTCGTGGAACTTTCATCATTCATCTGGATGACATCATCAGCACAAACTTCAAATAGAATTACTTATGTTCGTCATCATGCTTCAGCTTTACTTAGTATCCATATTACCTTAGAAAACTTTTCCATTATTTGTTGTTGTTGTTGTATAGTTTACTTTAATGGTACTTTATATTAACTACAAAAAAATAAACGCCTTCAAATTGAATTTTAAATGAAAACGATCTAAATGAATAATGGGTTAATTCATCAAAAGGTTTAGACTTTAATTGACTTATTAGGTATTTCATTGTATAACGTGAGTATAAAACACAGTTGCTGTTGTTGTTGTTGTTTTGTCTTTTCAATTGTTTAACGGATATTTTAGTTGGACCAATTTCATTCAGGTTGTCTCTATCCTGGTTAACATGATTGTCAAAACAACAACAAAAAACCATGACTTAGATCAGGAATCCGGTTCATATCGACCAATAATATTCAACATATTTATCAAGTTAATCTTTACATCGTTTAGTATTTACTTAAAATGGAATAATAAATAACGTAAGAATATTGGACATGTGTTTATTCTAATTTGAATGCGTCAGTCGGATGTAATTGCTAATGGCTAATAGGACATAGTAGTTTAGTTAATAATGCGTTGGTATTTGAAGTGAAAGATAATAGATTCCAATCTTAATGCGAATATTGACATAGATAAAGGTACATTCAACAAGCCAGTTGCAAATAGGAAGGAAAGCGTATGATGAATGTCACAATGAACAACTATATAAATTTAATTCTTTTTTTAAAAAAAAACTTATGACTAAATGGTAATATAGTGGGAGTCCGCTCCGAATAAATATATTCCAATAGAGAATAACCAATTGAAGAGTTTTGCATCAACAATGAGATCATCCTGTTTAGGAAACCCAGAAAATTCCTCGGAAAAAGCTCAAAAGGATGCTAAAAACACTGGGAAGCATTTTATCCAGTCAGTATTGAATGAAAGTTACTCAGAAGCATCGAGAAAGTAAAGAGTCATGCGTTACATTTCTCGTTAAATGGTTACCTATCCTGCTACTATCTTTAGAAGAGTTCCAGAACGTTCCAAAAGCCAAAGACTGTCCGATATACTATAAGTATCCTAGATTTTCTGTATATAAACTGTATTTAGAGTACCTATAACTATTTATAAGAATAATAATTTTAATGTTTATTGCAACAGTTGAGATCGCGAGTCATTTGAAGCTAGACCACCATGGGAAACCTGGAAGCATTGGACGGCCGTTTGGCCCTATTACTGGACTCCTCAACAGTGCGCATCCACGATCCCGCACTCCGGGATTCGAAACCGAGTCCTATCAGTCTTGCGGCAGGCGCCTAGCCAACTAGGCCACTGAGCCGTTCGGCATCCAACGTTGTTAATGTCTAACTTCAACTAATCCACGAAATTGAGCAACACATCCACCGCTGTCACCTGTGAATTACTATCTCACATATGACCTAGTTGAACTGTGCTGGTAACGGCTTCTCACTAGAACTCCAGGAT